AAACACACCCAAGCCTCTGGCTTTCTTAACACACATTAGAAACCCATGTTCTCCGGACCCATGCTGACCCCTCCTGCCGTGTCCCCAGCAACGTCGCTCCAGTCACTCGGCCCCCCTCTCCCGGTGGCAGGGCAGCCTGTGTGCCCTCCCCCCTGCAGTCGGGCCTCCCCAGAAATGCCCCTAGTTTCCTCCCTCACTTTTCATGGGTCTTTGCCCTACCTTCTCAGTAAGGTCTTCCCCTCTCCTACTCCAGTTAAAATCACAAGCCCCCATCTACCTTTTCACTTTATTATTCTCTTTTAGAAATCCTACATGTTTGATTGGAGCTGAACACTTGCACGTCGCGTTCATTAAACATTCTTTTCACATGGAGCCAAGGCCTCTTCCCCGAGGATGAGTTCACTCAGCACAAAGCAACTCACCTTTATGTCTTTCCCAAACATTCAACTTGATTTGTAGAGAGACAACTCGAATCCCACACTCCTGTCAGTCAGCTTAGATAATATTTAATTACAGTGACAGGTGCACATCAGGCAGGTGGGTCTGGGAGCAAACACAGCTGGCTGCTGGGGGCCTCACCCACCTGGTGGAGCAGAGGCCTGTGCAGGTCATGAGTGGCCTTGGGGCTCCGAGACTCAGGCCCTGAACTCCCTGCCTGTCTCAGGTGAGTCTTCTGGCTTGGTCTTGGTCACTGCAGTAGCTCTAGCACCTAGTGGTGCCTGGCCTGGAGCAGGTACCCTCATGATGCTTTTGATTGCCTGGGGGAGAGATTCCCCTGAATCCCAAGTAGCCTTTGAGTAGAAAGCTCTGCTCAGGTGTTTGTTGAATGACTGAGTGAGCAAAGGAGTGGCAAGAAGGAGGGTGGCCAGGTGGATGAATGAATGGATGGATGGATGGGTGGGTGGGTGGGTGGATGGATGGGTGGGTGGGTGGGTGGATGGATGGGTGGGTGGGTGGGTGGATGGGTGGGTGGGTGGATGGATGGGTGGGTGGGTTGGTGGATGGATGGGTGGGTGGGTGGGTGGGTGGATGGATGGATGGGTGGGTGGGTGGATGGATGGATGGATGGGTGGGTGGGTGGATGGATGGGTAGATGGATGGGTGGGTGGTTGGATGGATGGGTGGGTGGATGGGTGGGTGGTGGATGGGTGGGTGGGTGGATGGATGGGTGGGTGGGTTGGTGGATGGGTGGACAGATGGACTGCCTACTATAAGCACCGATCCACTCTGATCTTGTTTTAGGAAGTACCTGCTTGCTAGACTCTTTGGATTTCCACCCATTTTTCTAACTAAGGAGAATGGGTTTCTGTTGCTTCTTGTTGTGCTCTCACTGATGTCTCCTGTTGGCCGACATTCTCTCCCTTAGGCCAGCAAGTCTCTGCCCATTTTCCAGATGAGGAAACTTTGGGAAAGGTGAAGTGACTTCCTCAGATCACCTGGCCACCAGCCTCAAACCCATGCTCCTCATGCTCCCAACCCCTGTGCTCACCCACTGAGTCCAGAAGACAACATGAAAGCGAGGCGCAGGGTCATGGGCATCCCACTGTCTTTCAGAGTTGCCGGGAGCAAGAAGTCCAGCAAACGGACGAAATCCATCAACGGCTCCCTGTACATCTTCAGGGGTCGGATCAATACTGAGGTCATGGAGGTGGAGAACGTGGAAGACGGGACAGGTAACCCCCACCCCAGGCTCTCCATGGGCCCCTGCTCCATGCACGGTCTCTGCTTCAGTTCGTCTCCTGTTACTGTGAAATGTCCCCTACCTACAGCGAGGTGCCTGACACAGCATGTTAGGGGAACTTTCAAAGTCTCATGACGCCTGTGGGTCATCCTCAGACTCAGGGTGTGGCTGGCTCAAGTTCTCTGGATAGTGCCAGCCAGTTTCAAAGAGGTCTGCCAACCGTGCCCCAGCCAGCAGTCCCGGGGCCATGACTTGGCGTGGTCGGGACTGTGCTAAGGCTTTAAGTAGTCCCAGAGCCCGGACGAGACAGGTGAGGAGGCTGGAAGCTGGTGTCCCCCTGGAGGCACGCCTGCATTTAGGCCCAGTTGGGCATCCTGAAGCCCCTTGTAAGTGGGGTTGGAGGGTCTTTCTTGGCCAGACTCCCTTGCCCCCCAGAGAATGGGTAGGAGAGAGGGAGTGAGCCTCTGCCCGGCCCCATGGGTGCTGAGGTCTCGTCTGTCTTCCTGGAATGGGAAGGGCTGGTTCTGGGGCCTCACTGTGTGTAGTGGGGAACACACTGAATGGTTTGCCTCCCATCCCTGCCAGCGGATTACCACAGCAACGGCTACACGGTCACCAACGGCTGGAAGATCCACAACACAGCCAAGAACAAGTGGTTCGTGTGCATGGCCAAGACGGCGGAGGAGAAGCAGAAGTGGCTGGACGCCATCATCCGCGAGCGGGAGCAGCGCGAGAGTGAGTGCGCTCTCTTGCCCTGAGGAGTGGGCTCCGGGCAGCTTCCTGGACTGGCCACTTCTGCAGTGAGGACAGCGGCCTGGGAAGGGGCTTTGGGTCCTTTTGAGAAAGGCCAGAGCTACAAGAAGCAGGTCTTCGAAGGCGCGGGGAGCTCGGATCTGTGCTGTGGCCCAGGGGTGTCTCGGCTCACCGAGGTCATCTGGTTCAGTCCACCAGCGGCTAGTTAACGAGGCCCTGTGGGAGGGACTTGCCCGAGGTCGGGCTGGTGTGGATTCCTGGCCCTTCACCCGTGGGTCGGTAGCTGGGATGCACCCTGCATGCCTGTCCCTTCGCAGTCCAGCCCCCTCCCTGGGTTCTTTCTGTTTGAGATTTTCCGAGTCTGTACTTGGAAGGGAGTCCTCGGGGGCCCCCTTGAGTGTGGTCATCACTGTCCAGGCCCAAGCTGCTTGGCAGCCACTGGCACAACGAAGAGTGGATGTGAGAAGCAGGGTGGGGCTGGGAGTGGGCCCTGAGCTTGTGCCAACCACCAGGTTGGGAAGAGGGACCTCGGCATCTTTGGGGACAGCTCATTTTAGCTTCCCAGTGATGTCTAATAAGAGGGTGTGGGCCTGTTGCCCGGGTGGCTGTGCTGTGGGATGAGGCTGGTACCTGGCCACGCGGGGAAATCGGATGCATCATCCCACTCCCTGAGCCCAGCTGTCGGGACCCTCCCTGTGTCCTGGCCACTGGGAGCCCACCGGATGGCATGGCCATCTCCCTCCTGCCATGTCACTTCAGCGCTCTTAGTGTCTGCCCAAACCCGGCCCCCACTTCAGCAAATGCTCCCTCCCTTCTCTGGGAGTGAGTCCAACTGTTGGGGTCACCCCTACTTTTCTCCCTTTCCCCAGACTCACCTGCCCCATCAATGCTAGACCCATTCATGTCTCTCCTCTTCCTGCTCCCACCCTGGAACAAGATGCCAGCTCTCAGGAAATGCAGGCCTAGGATAGTGAGGTCAAGTGATGAAGAGTTTTTTTTTGTTTGTTTGTTTTTTAAAGAAGTGCACATCTGGATTTCAAAATGTTGCCCCCAAACGCTTTAAAATCCCACTAGGCCAAATAAATGCTGGAGTCTGCCCCCATCGAGGGGCGTTTGTCATCTCTCAAGCTGATTAGGGTGGGGGTGGGGCTCGGGCGCGGCCTCTCTGGGTGGGTGAGGGGTAGCTCTGTGGTCACAGGTGTGGTGGTGCCGGGCAGATGTGGGTGCGAGTGGGGTGTGGCCTGAACGGCCTGGGTGCTTAGGCTCAGGGTGGTGTCCCAGACTCCCGGGTCCAAATCCTGCCTCCAGCGCTTCTGGCTGTGCAGCCTCGGGAGGCTCACTCTCCTGCTCTCGGCCTCCGTGTGTCCCCTGCCAGGTGGGAGAACGATTCTTGCCTTGAGCAGTCAGTGGCAGGTGGTCGTTGCTGTCAGAACTGCTGTTATTTGTCTTCCTGGTGTCCAGAGTCGCCCCGGCTCCTGGGGCCAGGAGCTGTGTGAGGTGCTGGTGCAGCGGGCGAATCCACCTTGGCCGCACGCACAGCTCAGCAGGCCTTCGGGACGCCTCAGGGTTCGGAGACTTTCCCCAGGGTGAAGGCTCCACTGCTTTCTACCCTGGTCTTCACTGCTCTGGGCGCCCCCTTTGCCATCTGCGTGAGGGGGAGCCGTGCCGCTCTCCCGCCCACGGGTCTGCAGGGAGTCGCGGGCAGCAGTAAGCAGCGTGCTGCGGAGTGGAGGCCTGCCGGGGAGGGCGCTGGGGGCGCGCTTGCAGGCGGCAGGCCTGCCCTCCCCGTGCTGACCGCGCCCCTCTGCAGGCCTGAAGCTGGGCATGGAGAGGGATGCCTACGTCATGATTTCGGAGAAGGGGGAGAAGCTCTACCACATGATGATGAACAAGAAGGTGAACCTGATCAAGGACCGCCGGAGGAAGCTGAGCACCGTCCCCAAGTGCTTCTTTGGCAAGTGAGTGGCCCCACCCCGCCTCACTGGGCCCTGGGGGCTCGGCCCGAGGGCTCTGCCGGAGGCCCGGAGGGGCAGACGCCGTGCCCGGGCCTCCCCGTCCCCCCAGGAGCCCTCCTGGCGGTCGCTAGGCACTCGGAATCCTGTGCACTGGAGCTCGAGGATAGTGGGGCCCTTGCCCACACCCCACTCCTGAACAGCGGCTTTCCGCTGTGACCTGGCACACACGCCACGTCATCGCCACCCGAAGCCAAAGGCGCACGGGGCTTCCCGGCTGGGCATGGTCGCCGGCCGCTGTGCTCTTGCGCTTCCGGTCCTCCCCTGCCGGCCGCCCCTCCCTGCCCGAGTCGCATCTGACTCAGCTCAGAAACAGTGCAGTGCGATTCCCTCTGGTTCCACAGAGAACACAGAACACTGCCCCAGCCAACCCACGGGGCGCGGCCACGTGGACACTGCGGGCAGGTGGCGGTCCACGCGGGAGTGGTGGTGAAGGCGCTGGAGGCCGGCTGTGAGGACGTGGTGCCGGGGCCGCCGCGATGGTGGGGGTTTGCTCCTCCCGTTCTGGAGCTCCCAGGGGGCGCCGAGGCGGCTGGTGTCTGGGAGTTTCTCCCTGGGCTGCACAGGGAGGAGCCCTGTGGGAGGAGCTTTTCAGTACTTAGGGCCTCCGCTGTGACGGGAACTTGGTCGCTGCAATGCGGCGGGCACGCGGTGAGGACACAGCAGCCGTGTAGAGCTGCTTTGCAAGGCAAGATGCTGCTCCTTGGGCAGAAGTTCCGGGGCCAGGAATGGAGCCCAGGAGGTGGGGTTGGACTGAGAGACAATGTTTACCGGGAGCAGAGAAAGGGACATCGGGACCGTATGTCAAGCCACATCTGGGAGGCGAAGTACTCCCGGCCCTGCCTCGAGATGCAGGCATGATGCAGGTGGTCATGGGGTGCTCTGCTGGGGCTTGCAGTAGGTCACAGCTGCCCGTGAGTGGTCAGCTGGTAGCCGGCTATGGGAGCCCACAGGCCTCCAGGTTCTCGGTTTGGAAGATGCATTCTTTCCCAACCCCTGTTTTTCAGTCTACGAGCAAAGTGGCCAGAGCCCAGGTGTGATGCAATTGCATCTTTGGCCCTGGTTTAGAGCTCTTTACCTGGGGTGGGCAGGGTGTGGGGGAGGCAGGAGAAGCACCCTCCCCCCCCACCCCCGAAAAGCCTTAAGCTGCTTCCAGGCCCTGCTGTGTGAAGACACAGGGGTGGCCTTTCTGGAGAAGGTGCACGAACGCCCAGGCCCCTGCCTCCCCAAACTTGCGGTGCAGCTGCAGGGAGAAGCTGGCCTGTGAGGCCGGGACTGGACTTGGAATTCACCTTAGCTCTCCTTCCCCAAACCTTCTGAAGCTGCTTCAGGTCAGGCCACCACGTTCTATCAGCAGAGACCGGGGAGGGCTGATGGGGCTTGGGGTGGCCCCACTGGAGACGAGGGAGCAGCTGCTTTCTCGTCAGGTGGAAAGTGGCAGCGTTTCCCTGCGGGGTGAGAAAAAAGGGAGTTGAGGAGAGTGAGCCCTGAAGGCGGGGTGGTGGCTGCTTGGGAAGGGGAGGACATGGGCAGGCCTCCGGGGCAGGGCCCGGCCCTCCATGTGGACAGGTAGCATGGAGACGGCGGGGTGCTCCATGTTGGAGGAGCGGCTGTGACCTGGTCTTGGATGCCACGGGACTGAATGGAGTCCGCAGGGGGACATGTGGCGGCAGACGAGGCTGGGGCTGGGCCCGGAGCCTGCAGCACTTGAGGAGAAACCGCAGCATCTGAGAGGACAGGAAGGGAGGTGGGGGGCCCTCGGCCGGTGTGGAAACCAGGGGCAGAGAGGCCTGAGCCAGAAGGAGCAGGCCTGGTCTGTAAAGCTGAGCCACCAGGAAGACGCTTGAGTACGGCTGCTGGGCAGGCTTCGGGGAGCAGCGCTGGAGCCCGGGAGGGCTGGGGCACCATGGCCTGAAGCTTGCAGTTGGAGGGGCTGCAGGCAGAGCATTTGGGGTGGCTGAGGTGCTCCCGACTTGGGCTGTTACCTTCCAGGGTCAGCAACCCTCTGGGGTCAGCAACCTTAGTTCCAGGCTACCTGGGAGGGCCTGTGGAGGGAAGTGCGACCCTTGACCCTTGGGCTTTCGGGCTGTGGGGAGGGGCAGCTGGCCGATCTCCTGGAGCTAACCCTTAATCCCTGGGCAGAAAGAAGCTGTTTCTCTCAGGGGGCCCCGCCCCAGCCACCCCCACCACTGTCAGAGAACCTTTCTGTCTCCTGCCAACCCCTGGAGAGCTTAGTCCAGCCGGATGGGATAACCTGTTTGTGATTACAGCTTCGGTGGGGGTTTCTGTCTCCTCAGGAAGGATTAGGGGAGATTTCTTTTACTGCCCGTTGAAGCAGGGCCAGGATTGAGGCTTGTTTTGTAATCACGGGGCCTTAAGGAACAGACTTCCTGCTTCTAATAAATAATCTAATAAGGTCTTTGAGTAAGACTCCTCTCCTTGCACGGCTTTGCTCTGCCCCGGCTCTCCATCCGCCGCCCTGGCCAGCTCTGCGCTTTCTCCAGCCACACCCTGGCCCCTCGGGCAGAAGCACTGGGGCTGCGGAGACACTTACCGGCCTTTCTCTGCCCTGGATGCCCCCACAACACCCTGAGGTGCACCGCCCTCTGTGCCACCCAGGGGTGAGGGACAAGGGCCTGCTCGAGGCCACTCAGCCCCTCGGGGCGGGGCTGTGAACCCAGGACTCCCACCACACTCTGCTGCATTTATTTTTTTTATCTCTGGTCTGCAGATTTCATTTTTCCTTAGCAGTAACTTTCTCCCCTCTGCCTCTTCTCCACGGGGAACTCCATGGGTGCAGAAAGTGTCCGATTTATCTTTATAACCTTCAAGGTCTGGGCTTGGAGACACACATACTTGGACTCTAGTGCTGGTTCCCCCCATTTTCATTGTGTGACTTTGAGCAAGTTTCTTAACCTCTCTGAGCCTCAGTACACACATTAGTGAGAGATATTAAGACGAGCCTCGTGGGGTGTTGGGGACACAGTGCGAATGCCCTGCACATGCCCTGCACGTGACGTGCTCCGCCCCGAGAGGCCAAGAGCGCCTGCTTCTTCCCTGCCTAGAGGCGGGCTTCACCACAGGTTAGATGTCGATGGCCACCTGCGTGTACAGGTGCGGCTATCAGGTGATCTGTAATGACGCGTCAGCATGGCCACAGCCATCGTCAGGAAGCACCTTCCGGCAGTGCCATTCCTGGGAGGAAAGTCACCGCTCCACGTCCAGCCCTCACGGAGCTCAAGGCCACGCTCAGGCCAGAGAAGGGGATTCTTGTACTGGTGGTGGGTGGAGCAGTGGGGTCTTCTCTAAGGGAGGCTGCGTAGACTCACCCCTGTGTCAGACTAGGGCTTGACACTGGGAAGCTAGACATGCGCTAACTGGGTACCTGATTCTGGGGTGATGCAAGGAAGGAGGATCGGAAGCTGACGTGCTGACTCTCATCCCTGAGCCTCAGGCGCACAGCAGAGTGGCTCCAGTGCTGCCCCCACAGTCCTCCCTCCCGCCCCCCACCCCGTCCCCCACCCAGCCTACACTGCTCCCCGTGTGTCTCTGTGGAGTCTCGGCCTTGCTTCCTGCCACGGCAGGTCGCGGTTTCCTGACCCTGCTGCTTCTCACCTTGGCCCTTGTATATGCTGATCCCGTCGAGAACACCCCTCTTTGTACCCCGAGGTGGCAGATGGCACCCCACTGACCTGGTGTAGTTCACAGACGTGTTTGCAGTGGGCCACATGATACTTTCAGAAAAGGTCGGACTCCATACCAGCTTTCAGCCACTGGGAGATTTCAGAGGAAATGCCGGATTTCTGACTTCTCCCATGTCGTCTTCCCGTGCAGCCACGGTCCAGCCTCAGGGTGCAGGCTAACACGGTAGTGTCCACCTGCCCCCTCGCCCCTTTCTGGAGCGCGAGATCCTGGTTTTAGAGATGATGCTTATTTGCTTTTGCGTCTGGATCCCAGCTGAAGATTTCACGAGATCAGAGAGTGTATCCGCTAAACCCAGGAGGCCCCGGCTGAACCTCTTGCCCAGAACTCCCAGAGTGGCAGCCACTGTCTGGGTTTATCTGGCGCCTCGGCAGCGCTCCCATCCTCTGGAAGGGGCCAGACTCAGCTCAGGGGTCAAAACAGAGGTCACAGTTGTTGTCCTCTGGGCTGGCTTCTGCTCTCACAGCTGCTGTGGGGACACTTCCTGTCCCCCCGCCCTGGCCACAGGGCTGCCGGCCCGTGCCAGAGGCAGCCCCCCGTGGGACAGCTGGTGGGCAGCTGCATGTTGCGTGTCCAGCATCTGAGAGTGGACACTCAACATCTGTTCGCCTCCCTCAGCGGCTGGCATCTCCCTGAGTTTTGGGACTTTGCGAGTGGAGGTGGGGGTGAGTGAGCCCTAGGACAATCCCTTCCCTACCTGGAGTCCCGCTCCACACAGTCACCCACTTCTCCTGTGCCCCATGGTGCTCCTGGGGCTCTCTGAATGCTGTAGCACACATCACTACCTACACACAAGGCAGGTCTTTGCTCAGGCAAACTGCACAGCTAAAAATAGCCCTGCCCCCGGCCGTAGCTGGAGGCGGGACAGCTGGTTTCGATAAGCGGGGAGCTCTGTGTGCTGGCCAGCGGCCACCTGCTTTCATTGAACACAGATTGCCTCGGAAGGAGCCCTGTTCCCGCTCTCCCTTTTCCTGCTGACTTTGAGGGGCTGAGCTCTGCGTGGAGCTGAGTGTGTCCCTGAGAGCGGGGCTGGGCCTGGGGCCTCTCGCTGGGTAGTCATGTTGGCCTCGCCTGACTTCCGCTGGCCTCAGCACTGCTTCTCCTGAGACCTTGCTGCCATCCCCAGGACAGTCCTCCATTGGTTCAGTAAATGACGATGGGACCTGCCTGCACTTACATTCTCCTAGGTGTTGGGGGTAGAGCTGAGAAGAAAGACAAAATATGCCTGTCAGCATGGAGATTACCTTTTGGGTAGAGGAGATGGCTGAGAAATACATAAATAAATCTTTGTAGCTTCAGACAGTGTAAATGCTGAAAAGCAGAGGGACTACTTTTGATCAGGTGGTCAGAAGTATTTGAGCCGAGACTTGAAGGATGAAAAGGAGGGCTGTGTGAAGAGCTGGGGACAGGTGTTTCCAGGCAGGGGAACAGCACATGCAAAGGCCTTTAGTCAGGAGGGAGCCTGTCGTCTTTTAGAGGGAAAGACAGTGGGTGTGGCCAAAACAGGCGATGAGGTCAGTGAAGATAGTTCAGGTAAGACACGTCATCCTGCAGAGTTCAGATTTTCTGCTGAGAGTAAGGGAAGCCTGTTGGAGGGTTTAAGTGGGGCCATTGCATGACCGACTCTACAGTCTTCCTGAGCTCTTCCCTTCTCTTCCTTCCATTCATCCTCCTACCCACCCACATACCTGCCCATCTGGCCATTCATCACCCCCTCACCCATCTACCCAGCTCTCTGTCCAGGTAGCTGTCTATCCACTCTTGCACGCCACCTCACCCACCTACCCATGAATCTTCCAGCCCTCGTGTCACCTGCCTGTCAGGTAGCCATTCAACCGTTTATCTACTCTTTCATCCACTTACTTGCCCACTCATGTGTCTGTTTTCCGCCCACTCACCATCCATCCATCCTCCATCTACCCATCTGTTGGTCTGTGCATCCGTCCACACACTCATCTGCCCACCATCCAGCCATGTAGTGATCTGCCTAGTCATTCACCTGTTGCCTACTAATCATCCATCTGTATTTATGCATCCATCTGTCGGTCTATCTGCCTCTTCCTCCCTTCTTCCCCATACCAGTATACACCCACCTCCACCCATCCATCCATGCATCCATTATCCATCCATCATCCATCCATCATCCATCCATCATCCATCCATCATCCATCCAACCATCTATCCATCCATCTATCCATCCATCCATCCAGTGAACCTGGGGAAGGGCCTGGGTTCTAGCCACACATCTCTCTGCTGTTGGCTTTGGAGAAAAGCATGGAGCCTCAGCACAGCCCTCCGGACAGTGGAAGGGGGTTGGGGGGGGGGGGCTAGGCCAGCTTTGTGCTGGTCTCTGTGGGCCCAGTACTGGGCAGCCCTCTCAACTGATATAATGTTCCTGGCAGTGAGTTTGTTGCCTGGCTCCTGGAAATTGGTGAAATCAGCAAGACTGAAGAAGGAGTGAACTTGGGCCAAGCTCTGCTGGAGAATGGTATTATCCATCATGGTGAGTGGGGCTGGGCACGGGTGGGCCAGGGGTAGGACCAGGCCAAGGCGATTACAATAGGGCTGTAGTTTGGAGGCTAATTCTCCACTGCGGTGAAGCCTCCTTGTTCCCTGGGCACAGTGTGGCCCTGGGAACATGGATTCCCTTGTAAATCTGTTCACAGGGCTGAAAACCCTGTACTCACCCGGGTACCAGCCGAGCAAGGACCCCTGGAGTAGTGGGGCAGGGCAGGAATTCTCTTTTCTGGCCTTTCTGAAAAGGCCAGAACTTTTCTTAGGCATTCAGCAAACATTGATTGGGTGCCGGTTACATGCCAGGCGCTGTGTGCACAGTGGAGGGTCCTCCTGGAGTGACCTTCTAGGGGAAGGGGGACCGTCATTGTGGGGGTGCGGTGACTGCAGGGTGAGTGCGGGGGTTCATCTTGGAGGAGGAGAGGTGGGAAGCCCTCTCTGAGAAGACAATGGAAGAGACTCAAGGGTGAGGGAGGGAGCCCTGTGGGGGGACCCGGGCTGAGGGAATGTCCAGGGTCAAGTCTGCAGCAGGAGTCTGAGCAGTGCGTCTGCTTCGGAGTGGACAGCAGGGAGAGAGGAGGTGAGTCAGGACCACGGGGACCAGGAGCATGTTTGTGGGAGGAGGCCCAAGACTGTAGGGGGCTTGTGGGGTCTTTGGCTTTTACTCTCCAGTGAGGCAGGAAGCCACTGCTATGCTCTGAGTAGAGAAAACACACTGAAGCTCACATTTT